AAGGAAGAACCAGTTTAGATCAGTGGACTTTAAGATTGTGGCATTTGTAATACTAAAAGTATAGCACCATGAATATTCTGAGTAAATGAATTTTCAAATCTTCAACTTCCTCTTGTCCTCTTTTCTACACCTATCTGCCTGATGATGAGTTAGCACACAAACTTTTCTTACTCTGATACTTCCACTTTACCAAAGAAAACTTCCTAGGCTGTGAAACATCTTTGGGGTCAAGAAACAAATGTAACAGCTGTGTAGCAAAACTTTTTCTATAGCTAATCATTTCCAGTTCATTGCTATCAAAGCCTCAGTGAAGGTGAGCACTGATAAATCACTACTCACTTTTTTGATGTAATCTTTCCCTCGTATTTGGTGCTGACCTCAAAACTAAAACAATTCTTACAACTGTCAGGCCTCGGAATGTGGCTCAGTGAGAGAACACTTGCCTAATGTGCAAAAAAGCTCTAGGTGAAATCCTCAGCATCACCCCACCCAAACCAAAACTAAAACCAAAACCAAAACCTGTGGCAAACTTCTACTGCCACATATCTCAGGTTTATGGATATGAAAACAAAACGTGGAGCTGGGCACATTGGTGCATGCCTGTACCAGGCAGTAGGATCACCATGAGTTCAAGGTCAGCCTAAAACTATAAGCAAGACCCTGTCTCAAAACCAACCAACCAACCAACAAACAAAAACAACCCAGGAGAAAAGACAGTGTGAAACAGTGAGATCTTTATAAGTGGATACACACAGTCACTTTGTATAGGCTACTATCATCCCCATGAAAGATATATTTCAATGAACTTTTTAGGTGTAGTTAAGTGTAAGAATTTGTACTCTGACCTACTGAATTCTATTACTTAGAATACCTTAATTAAATATTCACAAACTAAGAGTCCTAGGAAATTTTAAGCGTATTAATAGGACACATCCGGTGAAATGTAAGACCTGGATGTTAGCTGGCAAAGTTTGAAATATGACAGGTACACACAGAGAATGATAAAACAAAGACTGTCAAATGCCTGCCTTAACATTTACGGAATCTGTCTGAAGGATTCTGGGAATACTCTGAACTATTTTAGCAACTTTTCTGTGAGTCTAAAAGTATTTCCATGTAATATAAAATTCATCTTATGTTCACATTTTTGTTGCAGAGATGGGTGATAATAAAAGAAAACAGGGTAATGTTCTTTATGAAAACTGGAATGAAAATAAATTCAAGGATAAAACATTTCTTTTTTTGTGGTGCTAGGGCCTTGAATATGCTAGATAGGTGCTCTACTACTGAGTTACATGCCCAACCCAAGAATAAAACATTTCTAAGTATGCATTCAAGAATGTTCATGAGTGATGGTAAGGTTGAAGTAAGATTCCTTCAAGGTTTTGCAGGTTGAATTTGAGTTTCAGGGTTCAGCCAATAAGGAAACAGTGAAGGTTCTCAGTCAGGATGGACAGTTCATAAGTAATATGGTATTACAACTATGTAAATTATCAGATGAGCCATAATGAAAAAATACTGATGGGCATGTAAGTTATTAGAAGCCTTTCATAATCATCTACATATATAACATACTTACTACTTCACATCCAAATAGGAAATAGGAAAAAAGGGAGAAGTCTACCACACTTTAAGTTCTTTGATAGGAAATATGAATTAGGATTCACCTATATATCTAAATTAGCACAATAATTGAAACATCAGAAACAATCTATTGTTAAATATTTTAAATTATACAACGAACACCTTAAATGAGTATTTTTGAGTTAGGGAAATGAAAATGTCAAAAATTCTTTTTTGAAAATTTGAGATGGAATAGAGATGCCATTTACTGAGAAAAGGGCCTGTTATAATTTATCAGCTTCTTTAGGATAAAAGAAGTATTTCCATCCCAAGGTCATACATGTACTTTCTGAATAAGTGAAGAATTTCCCCTCTCCCTCTCCATGACTCTGGCTCTGAAAGGACACCAAAGACCGTAAACAATTCTTGTGTATGTACCTAAATTAGAGTGATAAAGCCACGGGCAGCCTCACTTTTCCTTGACTCTCCTATTAGACACAAGTGGATCCTAAAGTAAGCAGGTGTGGCTAGCCCACCACCTCAGGAAGTGACTTCCATTCACTTCACCTGCTGGTCTTGGTACCCGCTGAGCTGCACTCTAGGGTTACGTATTATTTTTCTCATGTCAGATCTTCCTCTCTGAGCTCTTTATAGCTGACTCTTCATCTGAACTGCGTGACTAGATTCCTGACCCATGCTCTTAGTGTCAGTCTTGCTTACCTCATATGCACCCCTCCAACTGCATGTGACTAGCACTACATAAAACATACCTACATTTTCTACCTGGAAGACCACTGCTCCTGGTCTGGGACAAGTGGTTCTCATGATGTCATGCTCACTCCTTTCCTATGTAGTACTGTGACTCTTAGTTATATTAAGAATTACTAAGGAAAGATTTTGTGCTGAAATTATGGTATGGCTCTTTAATAATAAATATTTTAATCATGAAGCATACAGTCCTAATACTGTAACCAGCAGGGCAAAATGGAATTTTGTCTCATTGTCCTCTTTCTCCTTTGAAATGTTCCTTACTATAGAAAGACTCCTGCACACCAGACATAGAGATGGTTTGAAGCAAATGAGGTCCTTCCATCCCTGTGGAGCTAGCTCTGAATTCTTTTTTCGTTTTCACCAAATACATGGCAACTTTCGGTTTGGTCAGTGGTAAGCAAAAGAACCTGAGTATACAGACCTGAGCGGCTGGTAACATTGCTATTAACCTATGTGTATCATTAAAAACCCAGACTGAGGAAAAAAATTTAAACTGAGAAAGTAACCCCCCCAATACACACATAAAGATTCCCTCAAATACAAAGAGATTAAGTTTAAAAAAAAAATCGTATTTATAACCATTTCAGCTGGAAATCATAACCTTTTGAACTATTTTAATTTATAATAAAAAAATTCAGATGTCATTTCAGAAATGTGTCATTTTAATAAGTTTAAGGGATTCACTTACAAAAAAAGTAGGCAAACTACAGAATACAGGTCCTGGAGGAAAAAGGCAAAATAAGGTAGAGAGGGTCAAGCAGGTTGTTACGCTTTATTAAAGAATTCAAAAGCTAGGCATGGCAGCACATGCATGTAAATCCATCACTCAGAAGGTGAGGCAGGAGGATCACCTTGTATTCCAGGCCTGCCTGGGATACATAATGAAGACAAAGCTAGCTTCCATTAATCTCAAAAACAAAAAACACAGAATTTAGAATCACTGGCTATGGAGTGGCTATTCAAAAGGCTGAGGAGAAAGATCTTAAGTTCAAGGCCAGCCTAGGCAATTTAGTGAGGTCTTGTTTTGGAGAAGGGGGTATGCTAAGGATACAGTTCAGTTGTACAGCACTTGCCTACCTCGTATGTAGTATGCAACTGTGGGTTCAATTCCTAATGCTACCACAAGAAAAAGATTTTAGACTTTTACTTTATAGGCCTTAACTAATTTCTTTATAGTTTAGAAAGCTAACATTAGCTGGGTGTGGTGGTGCAAGCTTATTATCCCAGCAATCAGATCTTGATGAATTGGGAGGCCAGCTTGGGCTACATAGTAAGTTGGGAGGCCAACTTGGGCTATAGCGAGTTCGAGGTCAGTCTGAGCTACATGGTAAGACCCTGTCTCCAAAAAAAAGAAGAAGCAAGAAAAAAGAAAAGGAAAAGAAAAAAGCCAGAAAGGAAAAGAAATAATCTCATGAAAGTTTATATATGCTTTACTATCAATACAATCCCAAGTACCTGAATCTTTTATACAGGGCCATGAACCTTAGCTGTGGGAAAAAATTTCATTTGCACATCTACTTTTATGTTCAATGAACTCGATCTGATGCATTATGACCAAAATCCACACTCAAAGCAGGGTGCAGTGGCACATTAGGAGTCTGAGGCAGGAGGATTGCCATGAATTTGAGGCCATCCAGGGTTACACAGTGAATTCAAGGCCAGCCTAAACTACACAGCAAGACCTCATCTCCAAAAAACCCACAAAAGCCCCTCACTCATGGTAAATAAAATTGTATCTTAAGAAATCTTCTTGAATATCTCAAGAACTAACATGTGGCTATCATTATAAAATATATCATCCAAATTATAAATTCTTCTCTATCAAAAAATCAGAATATTCAAAAAGGGGGGAAAAAAAACTTACATGCCATGATCAATGCACTCTACAACTTTGCCAAAGGCCCCTTCACCCAAAGTGTCCACGATTTCATCTAAAGTGAGGGAGAGAAAAGGAGGTGTAAGTATCTGCGCACAGATTATCTAGTTATTCAAACAACGAATGCTTAAGTGTGGAATATTTTCAAATGATCTCTATCAAAGCATAACTAAGGTTTCAGCACTCAAATTATTTTATTTTCAGCTGCTACAAAAACAATTAGATAGAGCTATCTTTCTTGCTCTACTTTCAAATTCCACTGATTAATTTGGAACTTTAGAAATATTTAAATTCTACAGAAAAGAAGAAATACAAAAGAATAAACAAACCCACAAAAAACAAAACAAAAAAGCAATGAAGAGTTCTTTAGCCCCCCGCTGACAAACTATTCTTAAAAAGATTATTCTGTCTGCAAAGTTTAAAAAGTGTTGAAAAATATTCTATACATCTTGCTCTTAGAACGTCTCCACTTTGACAGATCAGGTGACCCTCCTCATCATCCTCTATACTCCTGGATCTTTTCCTTCGGTGGCTCTTCTGGAACGGCAAGTGGGCAGCACCAAGATCGTCCAGCCAATCAATATATCAGAGTGAATTCAGGGCAGAATACGCAATTCATTCAGCGGGGAGATATTCAGGCATTCAGATAAGCACCAGGCCACGAACAGTTGGCAGGAGCAATTTCAAATTCAGTCCCCAGAAATTCACAGGGCACAGTTTATGTTACAGAAGAAAAACATGGCAAGGAACAGATTTTCAGATAAGATACTTAAAGTGGCAATAGAAAAAAAACAACACAATTGTCTCTTTAAAATACTGATTTAATTGAAGTCTGAAATTTAAAGAATGCAATGTCATGATTTACTTATCTCTAGCTATAACTAGCATATGCTTTGAGTTGAGATGTCTAGTTTGTCAGAAAAATTGTTTTAAAATGTCAAAATTAGCTAAAATTGTTCATATTTAGCATTATTTTAAAATACACATGATTAAAGTAAGAAGGAAAAATAAACGCTAGATAATTTCAATGATATTCTACTAACAGCTAGTTTTACTGAAGAAAACTTGGGAAAGAAAATAATGATTCCAAGTTTACAGATTAAACAAATGAAAATGTCTGTTTTTTTAAAAGGATGTCTTTATTACATTTCTTAGCATCCATTTTCACAATTTCAACACAATTAGCTGTTTAAAAAGATGCACTGTATTGTGAAACTATGGTATATATAAACAACATTTAAGTATCTAACAGTGCACCCTTCCATATTTGTTGCTAAACATCAGGAAAGAGGTTTCTTTCAAAGTAAAAAAATGTTTAAGTTGAAAGAAAAGATGAGCACTTCACTTTTTCACACAAATATATAAACACAAAAATACTTCTATTATAATCCACAAACTCATGGTCTGGTCTGCAGAATTCGAGCAAATGTGAGCAAGTGTGAGCTAGCTATTAAATATACAGATCAGCTCTAAAAACGTAGAAATTTCCTCAAAGGATTCAAGTAATATAATACTTCCAAACAGCATTACATAAACAAGAAACTTTTAGAAACTTAACACTGCTTAAAGAGCTTTTACACACAAATAAGAATTCACTCAGAATAAGAAAGAAATCAATCATACCGAATGTGACTGATGGCTTGAGCAGTGTCTATTACGCTTCCTTTTAGGACTGCTTCTCCTGCTTCGGACTGAGGATTTACTGCAGTGGATCCGATAAGCACTTTCAATGTCTCTGTGATAATGTCTAGGAACATAGCCTTCGCAGTAGTCATTTCTGTATTCATCTACGTATCTCCGGTCCCGATAATCTCTCTCATTCAAGGACCTTGCTTCTAAATAATGACTGCAAACACATTAAAGGAGGTCAAATTATTCTCTTCACTGTGGAATAAAAAGATTCAACTAAAACACTCAAGATTCCTTGGTTTAAACAGCTAACTCAAGAAAAAAATGCAAATTGGTGAGTTAAAATCTATACTTATCTCACAAAATTTAACTTTAATCAACAAGCAAATAGGTCCATATTCTCCATTATAAAAACGGCAGTCAAGCACTTCAACCAAGGAACAAAGTTTGAGTCAAATTATGTTCAGTGTTTGCATAAGTGTTTTTACCTTCTGAACAAAGTTAAAACCAAAAATTCACAAAACCGCTCTTCAGTCCTTTCCTTTCTTGTACAGCCACTCACAATCAGAGGCAGGCAAAACAGGATTCCTTTCTCTTTTAAGGTAAATGAATTTTAGATATCCCAGCACACAGAGAAATCTTCCGTGAAAAGTATATTAGAGATTCAAGGAGTCTTAAATTCATTCTAGCCCTTTTATTTTACTGCTAACTAAATAAAGATCTTTGATATGCCAGGGTTATAAAGCACATTAATGACAAAAACTGACAGTTTCATACCTATCACCTCCTCTCTGCACATCTAGCCTTCTATTACTCTTGCTTGAAAAAACATAGGTTTTGAGGACTACAGTGTGCTGAAAACATCTAAAACATATCCCATCCAAGTGAGAAAGAGATGTTGCACAGCCTGCCTAGGATTACAAAAGTCCTCCCACCCAACCTTCCCTTTGTGTTTCTAATTTCCTGTTGTTTCCTGCTTGAGAAATACAAATACAACCAAAAGCAGCATTATCTAGGTGCCACTGTGCTTGGATCCGCAGATCCCTTTGAGAATCTGATGAAAGCTACGGACCCTCTTACCCAAACACACACAAATGCATAAACAAAACTTAGCTATTTCATTGAGATCATAGACCTTAGGAAGTCAATGGATCCCAGTTAAGTAGCCTTGATCTGATGGGGAAATAAAGAACACAGATTCAATTGGCCCATTTCCCGTCCCCCTCTCTACCTGGGATGAGTGTCCTCTTCAACAGAGTGCGAAGCTTCAAGAGGGATGCACATGGAGCACTGAGGGAGAGAGGGGACACCTGCCCAGTCAGACAAATCAGCTAAAATAATCCTGACAAGCAATGGAGTGACAGATGTCGCCTACATTGCCCTCACCAACCCTTTTACATTCCCCAGAGTATGTTGTCTTTCTTTTCCCCAGGGCGCTGGTTGAGGCAGAAACAAAGGAGAAACATTCTTTGAAACTATCACCAACAGTTTTCATCTAATTCAGGCTAGCGAACCCCTTCCTTTCTCCTGCGTCAGTCTAAGTTCTAACTTCTGGATAACTATATTTAGGGTGAAGATCAGGGGTCTAGGTCAGCTGGCTTGAAGCTTTCAGAGATCTCCACAAACAGAAATTACCACAGTCAAAGGCATCCTGTTTAATTCTCTAAGAAGTCCCTTCCATGAAAGTCCAAAAAGCCAGAGAAAAACACTAATAATCTTTAGTTGGAATACTGCATGAAATTGGAGCTACTCTTCATCCAAAAGCAATTTATAGAATAAAACGAGATGATGTAACACTATGAGTACACTAAAAAGATGAGGACCCTTTCAATCTATAATGACCAATGACCAAAGCTTAGAGATTACATAAACAAGCTATGGACATTGCAAACAGAACGAACAGGCTTTAATTTTTAAAAATATTCACTGAAGGTCTAGTGAATATTTCACCATAACCTTTCAAAATGACCAAAACTGATGAGGATATGGTCATTCATTTTTATTTCCACACAGGTCCTTGGGATATTAAGAAAAAATTCATATTAAGGCAAGGTCCCCATGAACAAATAATAAACATTTTGAGATTATTGTAGTCACATAAAAATATAATCCAACAATGCAGGAAGTGCTGAAAGATTGCATACGAGTGCTTGGAGTCAGAAAAAAATGCACTCAATCTGCTTAAAACGATCAGGGAAGAATTCATGGGGAAAAAAAAAAGAAATACAGTTGTATCTTAAAAGGAAGCCAGATTTGGGCAAAGTGAAATAGAAAATTCCAAGGGAGAAGAATGTCATATTACCGTTTCATACTTTGCAGCACATTAAGCCACAAAGGCGTAATGGACTTGTCTATGCATTACTTAGGAAAAAGTAGACAATTCCAAGAACAGCAATTTTCACCCAGGGGAATAAAGACCAATTCTCCAGCTGAGAAGCGACCAGGCTGGGGAGTATTTCTTTAAAATGGTCTATTTAATAAAGATGATCAAATATGGCGTTCTTATTAAAATGACATTCCTGGGACCAGGTCATACTAAATCTAAAAACCTGCTCTTTAAATATACTATTCACAATAGTTAGAGAAACAATGGTTTAAGATTTGATACTTTGTAACTATTTTATTCTCAATATATAAACATGGCATTTACAGCCACCTCAGTCTTAACCTTAATATTGTGTCCAGAATGGATTAAGCCTGTGGGACCAACTCATAGGCTACCGCCAAAGACAAATTAAAAAGAAATAATACTTTGTAATGTATGTGACAATGGGTTAAAATAATACATAACGAAAAGCTCTTACCTAAATAAGTAAAAAACTATAATAGAAAAATACATTAAGATTTTTAAGGAAGTGCAAATGGTTCATAAATATATATCAGAAGACAAATTACCTAGAAATCCGTAAGATCAAATTAAAACGTAACACATTATGTTTTGAGACATCAGTACACAAAGGAGCCTATTATAGATACAAGATCTGGTACAATTGCTACAAAAAGAAATGCAAATGTGTAGCAAAACTTTTTAACAGTTCACACACTGTAACTTGAAAATGCCACTGGGAATGTTTTCAGGAAATAATCAGACGTAAAGGTCTGTACTCGAAGATATTCTTAAGAAGAAATCAGAAATAATTTACATCCAAATAATCAACCACTAGCATCCTCCTAAAGCTACCTTCTTATACTTTTCTGTATTTTGAATTTTTGTTATTTTATAAAAACTATTCTCATAGTTTCTAATCTTCAAAAAAGCTATTAAGAAAAAAAAAGCTATTAAGTATTCCAGGTTATGGTGAGCAATTAACCTTTAACTATGACTGGTGTCAAAAGTCAAAGAGGAAGGTATTGTCCTAGTAGTGAACTATAAACTCAAGTAATATTTCTATGCAGTGTAACTGAATATAACTGTACACTCAAATCACTTCCTTGCCACATATACACTGTATAGTAAACCTATGAGTAATTAGTTAAGCCTTGGGAGTATTTTGTACTTAACAATGCAATACAGATGTTATTTTTACAGGATACATTAATTAGCTATGGTCCTTAAAATCCTGCCATAACCTTCCTCTTAGGTAATGCACTGACTACAAAAAACTCACTATTTTAGCAGAATAAGTTGTTTTAGCATGGAGAAGGAAAAAAATAACATACTGTTCTTTTAAAGTAACCATCTGGCTAATTTAGAAAGTAATCTGGTAAACTGTCCCAACGGAACACCCCCACAAACAAGGACAGAACACAGAACCAATAAAACAAATGAGAAAGGGAAATTAATGGAAGACAGAATGAAAGTCTACTCAGCTAGCCTTTAAAAAAAAATATTCTAAATAGATTATTTCCAAATTTTATACCAGTAAGAATGTAATAAAATAGGACACATGTGATTGTAAATTTTTATTGAAGCCCTTTCCTAAATTACTAACTACCTCTGTAAAGGAATACCTTGTAGAACAAAGCAAGCTTCTAAAAATCCAAGATATATATCCATTCGTCTTATTCTATAAATATAACCTGCAGAACATAGATAATAATCCCCAAGGTACTTTTTAACATTCCCAAATAGTATATGTTGCTTTTTTCATCTGAATTAAGCACCTCCTCCAACATACAGATCTCCCTCCTATGTATAAATTAAATACACTCACTGGGCATTCCATTATTGCTACTCAACCTTTTGTGTGTTTCACCTCCTGAAGTATGTTATCGGCAGCTGTGCTCAAGATGTGTGGTGCTAGGGACAGAACAGAAGGCTTCACACAAACTAAGCAAGTCCTCTACCACTGAGTGCCCTCACCCCTGAATATATTTTTCATCTGCTTACTGATCAGCTGGTCTCTCCTGCTCCCAGGCAGATTTAGCTATATGAGAATAAGAACTTTGTTTTATTTACAGCTATGGCTTTGGCACCTACAGTGGCTAGTCTATAATATGCAGTCAATTAGTGTTTTATGAATGAATAAATGTTAACTGAAACATAAATAACACATGAGAGCTATAAAGCAAATGTAAACTGTTAAAACTAGTATAACTAACATGCTACTAAGTTCAAGAATAATTTACCAATCAGATTCTTTAAACTGGTGATGTGGTTTACAATGCCTATTCTCCTGTGTACTACTGTGAGATCTCCTCTTCCGTTTGTGACTTCCACGGTAGCTTTCATGTCCCCAGCTTTCTCTGCTATCCCAATCAGGGCAGTGAGTTCGTTTGGAATGCCGCATCTGTTAACAGCAGGGGAAAAAAAATTGTGAAAGTTAAAGACGGCGGTAGAGTAAACATTACAAACACAAAGCCACACAGCACATGAGTCCAAGGGTCTCTAAATTTTTTAAAGTGTACTTCCCAAGGCATGGAGCACCATACTGCAGAAGGGCACAGACTAGTCCGACATGACCTTAAATAAATTTCCTTTTAATTCTTTTTTTCAAGCAACAATTATCTGCCCTGTCAAAAATTTTTTAAAGGGCCAACAAAACAAAGCTTAGAGCCCTAGGTAGACAATAATATTTAGCTAGACATTAAATAACTTTGTTGTTTTGTCACCTTCTATTTATACTCATTTTCTAATTAGGTTATCAACATGCTTTCTTTGAAAGATGTCAATGTTAAAACATGAGCTGGCTTAAATAGTATCACATGTCCTGCAGCTTTGGCAAAATTAATACAAACTGCTAAAGTGAGAGCAGTTAGGAATACTAAATATGGGAGGGAACTATGGATTAATGATAAAGAGTCTTTTGTTAATGCTTTTTCCCTCAAACTCTGTACAGTTTCTTTCTCTAAATTTCAGAAGGACTCCAAGCTTTGACAACAACAGAGGGTAGACAGAACACAGTATTCAACAGAGAAAATGAAGGGAAACCAAAAAGCGTTTATCCCGAAATGTATCTTTTTCTACCCAACAACTTTATTTTCAGATCATCCTTCAATTTTTCTCAAAATTCACAGATCTGGAATGCCTCTGAAAAAGAACCCAATCTTTGAGGCAACCAATGTACAAGAATGCCCAGTGGCATGGTCACAGGACACGAGGCAATGATGGCGACAATTCCCAGACATCATCTACGTCCTCCTGCATGCAGCCCGATTCCTTCCAGGCCAGGATCTGTGTTCAGACAACTTAACCTGCCTTCCTCTCCTTATCTTTTCCAAAGCAGTTAAATTTTTGACAGTGAGACCCAAACTTTGCTAAACAAGGGTGAATCTAAAAGCAAAAAATTTCACATCTCAGCAAATAACCTGAGAAAAGCTAAAATGAAACAAAAGTAATTTCTTCATTCAGCTTCCCAAAGTAAGTGGAAAAATAAGCAAACAAATCCAGTAAAATTTTAAAAAAATTCAAATAGATCAAAAGTTTTGAAATGAGGCCTGTTCAACACCCCGAGAGGTTTTTCCCTAAGAAAAGGTGTATCATGCCATCAAACAGATTTTTTTTTTTTTCTTTTTTTCAGTCTGGAGATGTAACCTAGGGGCCTCCTGCTTGCTAGGCAAGAGCACTCTATCAGTGAGCTATATCCCCAGCCCAAATATTCAGATACTGTACTTTAATTCTCTTGCTGATTCAAAGTCTAGGTGTATAAGATAATATGACTTCTCTTTTATCTTACTTAAAAGAGAGAAGTCACCTCAATATGGGAAAGTGAAAATAAATGACAACACAAATTTACCTGAGGCAAAAAACAAAAAGCAAACTTACTTGAAAAGAGTCATAAAAAGATAAAATAAAAGAGCCATAATTTTTTTCTATTTCTTGTGGAATTATTCTGTTCGCTTAATGATCAAAACTGTACTTCCACTACCTTAGGAGCGGAGCTTGGTCAAACACCCCCAGGCCCAGCTGCCGCCCCTTGCGGGCGGTAATACTAAGCACGTGCTCTCCCAGGGCGGAACTCCAAGTGGATCGGCGGAGGGAGCCGCAACTTCGTCCGGTCAGCCGCAGTTAAAGTTCACTTGGGGCGCCGCCCCGGGCCCCTGCGCAGCGCACTGGGACGTTCCTCACGCGGCGAAGGCGGCACTCCCGGGCCTGCCTGCCCCGGGGAAGACGCGTTCCTTCACACACCAAAAAACGGTCACACTCTCTCCAGCTCGCTTTTTAAAGGAGCTACACGCTAGACTCTCATCATCCTCCAGTCAAATCAACAGACGCCACGCACCTGGAGGGGCGGC